GGGACACAGGACATACGTAGAGAGCGAGGGGGGGGGGGGAGGGGTGACAACGACCGGCTGCGGCTCGTTTCAAGCGATCGGCAGCGGGGCCTTTGGACAGCGCATAGCAGCGGCGCGCTATGGTTGCGACCCCTCACGCCGCCTTTTTGCGACGGCGCTTCTTCTTGCCAGCCGCTTTGGCGTGGACCTTTTCCAGTGCCTTAAATGCCAGAGTGGTGTCATGGTCGATCCGGTCTGTGAGGTCAAACGAGACGATGCGAGGCGCGTCCTCCAACGCTGCAAGCAGCAGCTGCGCGCCCTCCTCCGACACGAGGTTGCCGTCAATGTTGAGCGCTGTGAGCGCAGGCGCAACAGGAAGAACGGTGGCCAGGCGGCGGTAGACCTTGCGCGGAGGATGATGCGCGCCGTTGTCGCCGACATTGAGTGTGGCGAGGCATTGTGCATGCGGAAGGCCCTTGACTAGGGCGTGGATGCCCGGTGCGCCCAGTGCGTTGCCGTACACATCCAGCTCGGCCAGTGCCCCGGCGTATGGCAGGATCTTCGAGCCGAGGACCGCGCCAGCTGCTGCATCGAGCCCGCAGAATCGCATCGAGAGCTTGGTCAGGCTCTCGTTCCATCGCAAACCGGTGGCAAGGCCGGCAACGCCCTGTGCACCAAACGCTGGATTGTGGTCGAGAGTGAGGCTCTTCAGCGAGGCGTTGAGCTGGAGGGCACGACCGAGATCGGCACCGGGACGAGCACCCATGCCGATGTCGACCATCTCGAGTGAGACCAGCGACGACGAGGTGTGGAGGAGGCGAGCAACGGCAGATGCGCCCTGCGAGCCCGACTCTGTCCGCCACAGCACCAGATGAGCAACAAAGTCGTACGTCTCCACCAGAGCCGCAAGCAGGGCTTCGGTCGCCGGGCCGCCGAGCTTCTGATCGGCCACCACCACAGCGTCAAAGACCGTCTCCTCCTCCATCTGCTCCAGCAACCAACTCGCCAGAATCCCAATCGCCGCTCTCGGCGCTCCGCATCGCTCAGCATGCGCCAGGAACGAACTCCGCAGCGACTTGAGAAGGGCGTACTCGGGCGATTCTGTCGGGTGGAGAGGTGAGTATGGGGGGGGGAGGGGGGGGAGGGGGAGAGGAGGGGAGGGGAGGAGGGTGGCGTACCCTCTTCGCCCTTGCGACGAGTCCGTCGGCGTTTGCCCGACATGTATGGGGGGGGGGAGGGTGGAGTGGTTGAGGGTGGCGTGGTGGAGTGTTTGGGGGGGGAGCGGAGACGGCAGGCGGCGATGTCCGTTGAGCTGTCATTCGGGCGGTTTGGGTGTGGGGGGGGGGCAGGTTACGGCAGCATAGTTTTACTTGCCGAGCTTCTTCTTGTAGCGGGCACTGGTGGCTTGCTGGATGACGCCGCAGGCGAGGCGAGTGACAGCGTCGACTAGGGAGGCGGCCATCTCTGCCCGCTCTTCGACGTGGTCGGCCTGCTCGATGGCGCGGTTGATGAGATGAACCCAGCGGTCACGGAGCAAGTCGCTGGCGGCGGCGAGCTCGTACTGCTTGGCATCCGAGTTTTCACGCGGGATCATGGAGAGACAGAAGATCTCGCCCTTGGGCGGGTCCTCGTTGATGACGGCCGACTTGTAGTCGCGAAGATCCATGGCGCCCTTGGGTTTGACGTCGGACGGGGCGGCGTAGTAGGAGAGGGTCGATTTTTCGCGGTCGAGGACAAAGCAGCGCTTCTGCCAGCGTTTGCGGAAAGCCTTACCGCCGAGCTTGGAGAGCTCGCCGTCGACGGGCATGTCGAGGAGGACCGAGACATCGAGGTGCTGGGAGCGCTCCGTGATGTTCTTGCTCGCCTGATCGACGATAAAGTGGCGGAACTCGATCCAGCCGATGTCAAAGGCGGCCGGGCAAAGGCCGGGTTATCTGCCAGAGCTGGCTCGATCTCGGTCATGAGCTCGATGAGTGCAGCCTCGTCGAGGTCAGTACCACCGCGGACGACGCGCGCGCCGGCTGCGAGCTCGTCCTGGCCAATGCGCCCGTTGGCGTCGGTGTCGAGTAGGTCAAAGGCGTCGTTGATGCGCGACTCGAGGAGCCGCGGAATAGCTGGGTACTTTTCCAGGTACGCCACGTACTTTGCGTTGCAGAGCGTAAAGAACTCGGCGTACTTGGACTCAAAGTACTCGGGCGTGCAAATCTGATCGATGTCGGGCCAGAGGAGGAAGATGCGGGTGTGCTCGACTGAGAGCTCAAAGTTGGAGGTGCCGAAGACCTTGAACGGCACAAACACCTCCTTGACGTGCGAGGTGACGTGCGGGCGAAGAGTGTCGGTTTCAACCACAGCGTCTTTGGTCTCGTCCCACGTCACGTCACCAACATCAATGAGCGATGAGACGAGGACCTGGATGCTCATAGGATCACCGACCTCTTCAGACGAGCTAGCAATGATGTCGAGCGCAGTGGCGAGCTTTGTGGTCACGGTCTGGACCACGTCGCGGGTGTCGACCTCGACGGTGCGGCCGATGCGGGCGCACGGCACGCCGCAGTGGTCGATGTGCTCGACCGAGGCGGTGCCTCCGCGAATGAGCGAAGTCCACGCCTCGGCGAGATTGGACCACAGCTCGCGGACCTCGGCCTCGATGTGCGACATGGCGTCGACGCGCATGCTGTCCATATACTCTTCCAGGAAGACCTGCTCGTCAGCATCCTCCACGCCGGTCACTTGCTGCGAGACGGCGAGTTGCGAGGTAAAGTCGACGACCGAGTCGATGTTTGTGCAGCGAACAAACTTGCCGTCGGCCTCGACCTCCCACTTGAGGGTGTATTCTGCCAGCGGATTGGAGAGCGGCTCGCCCGAGTTTGCGTCGAGGACCACCACATCGCCGTACTCGATGTCAAAGTTGCCTGCCGTGGTCTCGGACGGCCTCCACTTGACGGTAGCCGTGGTAAACTGACCCAGCCCGGCCTCTACCATCGGACCCTCTGACGAGAGGAAGGTAGCCTTGAGCTGCAGTTGGACCACGGGCACCTGCCCCATCCCAGCCAGCCAGGTGAACTTGAGGCCGGCCCCGTACGACGACGACGCCGCCGCGGCCATGTGTACGTGAGGAAGGTGAAAGGTGGGGGGGGGGGGGTGGGGGTGGGGGTGGGCGGGGTGGGTTGCACGTGGGAAGTTAAGGGGATGAGGGGGTAGGGGTGGGGGTGGGGGTGCAGGGGGTGGGGGTGGGGGTGGGGTGAGGGGTGAGGGGGTAGGGAGAGGTGGCTGCCTGCCCGTGGGGCTGGTGTTGGCTTGTACGTCAGACGCCATCCGCCAACCGGCAGGCACAGCCCCACCACGGACCCGCCTCGTGATCGATCACGAAGGCGATCACAGCCACCACAGCCACCAAAGCCCCCCCCTCCCCCTCCTCACCACCCACCCACCCCACCTCTCCCACCCCACCTCTCCCACCCCCACCCCCCGACCTCCTCTCACTCCCTCCCCATACCCACCCACACCCCTCCCGCCATGAGTGACAGTGTGCCCATCAAGGTCAAGTGCCTCAAGGCCCGCAATACTGTCGAGGTGGACGTCCGTCTCGACGTACGCCGCGACCTGCCCTGCCCCCCCCCCCCCCCCCTCCCCCCCCTCCCCCCCTCCCCCCCTCCCTCCCCCCCCCCTCCCCCTCCCCCCCTCCCCCCACCCCCCCCTCCCTCCCTCTCACCCTCTCCCGCCACACACAGATGACGGTGCTGGAGCTGAAGAAGGCCCTGGAGGTCACGACAGGGACGCCCGAAGAGGCGCAGCGACTGCTGTTCAAGGGCAAGGTGCTCAAGGACGACACCGTGCTCTCCGCTTACGGCATCGCGCCGGAGGTCACCATCCACCTCGTCGAGTCCAAGCCTCGCCCGGCTGCTCCTGCTCCAGCTACCGCTGGCACAGGTGCCACGGCCTCCTCCTCCGCTACTCCTCTCACGGCACCGGCCCCGACCCCTGCCGCGGCACCGACCGCAACCGCCGCCACGGTACCGGCCGACGAAGCGCCGACGGCTGCAGCTGCGGCTGCGGGAGGCTTCCCCATCGACGCGCTGCAGTCGGCCATGCAGAATCTAGTGGCCTCACTTGGCTCGTCCGTGCCCGGGGCGCGGGTCTCTGCCAACGTCATTACCCCGCACGGGGTGCAGACGGTGCATGTCGGTGGGCATGGCGGTGCTGCTGGGCAGGCAAGCGAGCATGCTCCGCAGCCCGAGGTTGTTCCGGCCCGTCCGCCTCCGCAGCCGGCACGCGCGGCGCTTGAGCACGTGCAGCAGCAGCTCGCTATCACCGAGGCCATGGTGCGTTCGGTGGAGACCAGGACCAACGTGTCGAGCCCGCTGCCAGCCCTTGGAGAGGCCGAGTCGCCCATCCGCGTCCTCTCTGAGCTCATGGCCACGCTCAACGGCCACCAGGCTCGGGTCTCGGTCCTCACTGGCCAGCTCTCAGCCGCGCTGGCTGCCGCTGACGCCGATCCGTCGCCGCAGCGTGTTGCCGACGCGCAGACGCTCGCCCACCTCCTCGCACCCTCGCTTGCGCAGGTCTCGCGACTCTACGGCCAGTTCTCTTCGCTCTGCCGCGCGCTCGCTGTCTCGGGCTCGGACGCGTACCTCAACATTGCGCAGACGCCCACGCCGACCGTCCACCGGGTCCACATCCATCAGCGAACTGCGGCGCCGTCGCAGACTCGGGCCCAGGGCGCAAGCCCGGCGCGAGCACAGCCACAGACTCCGACTCAGGCTCCTGCTCCTTCGCAGCAACAGGGTACTGGCGATCTTGGCACCGTCCTTCGGTCGGTGCTCGATAACCTTGGCGCAGGCACAGCACAGGGCAACTCGGCGTCGACCGCCGCTGATGCGTTCTCGCAGATTGCCGCGCACCCGGCGGTCGGTGCGCTTGCTCAGCACCCTACGTTTGCGGCGCTCGCGGAGAACCCAGCGGTCAACGCGCTTGTGGGCGATTTTATGGGCTTGCTCGGTGGCAATGACGCAGGCGAAGCCGAAGACGGCTCCGGCGAGACGAGCGGCGGGAACAGCGGCGACGGCGACGACGATGACATTCCTTGGCCGCCGCCGGCTCGCAACCTCACCGACTACATGTTCAACAACTATCTGGCGCGGCCGGCAAACATGATGGCGGTCTCACGGATCGCATCGGGTGCGGGCTCGCTGCAGGAGATGTACCACGGGTTCAAGGAGCTGTTCGAGAGCGCGCTGCCGACGGCCCACCGTGGGTCAGCGGCCGCAGTGGACGAGCTCGCGGAGGCCTTTGCCGCCGGCTCGGTCCTTGATGACACAGCACTGCCGCAGGCGCTGCTGGTGGCGCTCAAGCCGAGTGCGCCGCCGATTGCCCCGATTGTCCGCGGCGTCGTCCAGCAGTACCTCAAGCTCTTCCTGCGGCGGCTGGTCCTCGACTCATTCGAGCCGACTGACGATCGGCCGACACCGTTTGCAGACATGGCCAACCGGCTAGTCTCTGTCTTTCTCGGGGCGCTCGCCTCCAAGCTCGTCCCGCACCTCAGCGGCGGCGGCGCCGACGTCGACCATGTCTTTGACCTCGCGTTCCTCACCGGTGGCGCGCAGTGCCTCCCGATGCTTGCGCCGTTTGAGGCCGCCATCCAAGCCGGCCTCCGTGAGAGGTACGAGTCGTACCAGGCGCTGTCGGCCTCGGCCTCGGCCTCGGCCTCGGCACCCACGACCACGCCTGCTCCGGTCGCCAGCTCAGCCGCCAGCCTGGACTCGGGTGCAGTGCCAGTGGCACAGACGCAGTCACAGGCGGTCGCCGACATGCCGCCGCCGCGAATGGCGCCGATCTCCAACCCCGAGCACGCCCAGTTCACCCAACAGCTTGAGGCCGACAGCCGTACGGCGCGAACGACAGCCCGCCCGCAGTTTAGCGCCGCGTACCTCACGGGCATGCCGTTGGCGCACCGGACTGCGCTGGAGAAGGAGGCCGAGGCCCAGGCGGCGGCTACCGAGGCCCTCGACTGAGGAGACTTAGTTAGTAGTGTAAAGGTGGAGCAGAGAAGGAGAGAAGAGATGGTTGTTGTGTTTGTTGCGCCTTGGCAAGCCAGACTACTCGTCGGACGACTCGTTGATAGACGAGAAGGAGGAAGAGTTGCGACGGCCGTTGGTGGCACTGCCGCGGATCGAGTTGCGGCGGCCCGAGCCGTTGCGGCGGGCGCGCGAGGAGGAGCGGGAGGAGGCGCGCGACGAGGCGCGAGACGACGAGTTGCGGCGAAGCGAAGAGCCCGAAAAGGTGCGCGGGGCAACGCCGCTGATGGGCGGGGTGGACGGCGCGAGCGGCGGACGGGCGGCGGAGCCGCGGCGCTTGTCGGAGCGCGAGCGACGGGCGACCGAGTCTGCCGGGCGCGAGAGGAGCGGCAGCTCCGAGCCGGAGGTCTTGCGGCCGCGCGGCGGGACGGCGTCCTCGGGCGGCGAAGGGGTGTCACGTTTGCGGATGGTGGCGTGGTCGGGCGACGAGCAGCCGGCGTCATACGAGTTGGACGAGGCCTCTGGCGAGTGCGAGGTTTGCTTGCGGGCCGCGACGGCAGGAGGCGGCGTGGCGCGCGGCTTGGCGATGTGCAGTGGCGGAAGGACGGCCGGATGCGGGCGGGCGGCAGCGGTGGCGGGCACCGAGCCGACGACATCGGCGACAGGCGGGCGGGCGTGGATGGCGAGGTTCGGGTTGGAACGGTTGGAGCGTGCCGAGAGCATCTCGCGGTTGACCTCGTCGTCGTCGTCGTCAGGCAAGATGGCAGACGCGTTGCACGAGCGGTTCATGAACCAGAACAGGGCGTAGCCAAAGAGGGCCACGACGAGCACGTTCGAAAGAATAAGCAGAATCTCGAGTGGAAGGACGGCCGAGTCCGAGTTGACAAAGGTCTTGGAGGAAAAGATGAGGCCGCATGAAAAGGTGATAAGGAGCTGGACGAGGGCAACAGCCTCGAGCTTGTTGATCTTGGAGTTACGGAACGGCTCGGCGTAGACCTGGACGCAAACGGCAGCAATGAGGGTGAGGAGGAGGCCGTAGAGCGGGAGCGGCGTCGAGTCCGAGGGCAGCACGGCAATGAGGGCGACGAAGAGGCGGCGGATGAGGATGGCGAGCTCAAACCAAAAGTACTTGGGCTTGTACGAGTAGTACAGGAAGCCGAGCCAGTCGTCGGTGGCGGTGCCGTGGCGCGAGAGGAGGATATGGTCCTTGGGCAGGATGCCCTGGCGCTCCTCGGGCGAAGGAATGCGGTCCTTCGGGTGGCGGAAGTGGTAGAGAAGAACGATGAACATAAAGGGGATACCAGCCGCGTAGATAAAGGTGCCTGCGAGGCCGAGTGCAAAGAGCTTGGTGTACTCGGACGACGAAAAGGTGCACTCGATCCAAGGCGCGGCAAAGAGATACGACCTGCCAAGGGCGTCGTCCTGCGCGCAGAAGAGGGTGGAGAGAACACCGACGGCGATGGGCAGATAGCCGAGGTTGAGGACGGCGAGCATGACGCGGACAGCGCCGGAGCGCCACTCCCACTCGGTGAGCGAGAAGAGTTTGGTGCCTGCGACGCGGGTGATGACCTGGACAACGAGGTAGGCAAAGATGGTGAGCGAGAAGACGGCCGGAATGAACACAATCTTGAGGATGGTGTTGGTGGTAAAGGCCGAACCGCCGCCGGAGAGGCAGTTGAGCATGCCGATGGAAAAGGTGGCCCAAGAAAGGCCGCCGTCAAAGAGCGCGGTGACGTTGGACGGCCACGAGAGAACAGGCGTCTCAGTGACGAGGACGACTGAGGTCTGGAGGAAAATAAAGAGCGACTTGATGGTCGGCGCGTAAAAACCGGGCATGGAGACCGAGATGGTGTAGAGGTACCAGCCGAGGAAGAGCGAGCCGTAGACAATGGCGATGATGATGGGCACGACAGAGATGCACTCATCGCAGCGGCGCCCCTTGGAGTAAAAGTCGGTCGAGCACCGCGAGCAGAGGCGATCCTCGTAGCCACGCTTGCAAACAAACGGGTCGAGCGCGTCGGGGTTACACGCCGACTCGTCGAGGCGGATCTGGTAACAGCGCTCGAGGACAGGCATGGTACCCTGGGCGCCGTACTGGAGCGGGAACCATCCAGGCGCAATGGTGACTGTACCCGGGCGCACGCTGACGGCGGCAGAGTGGTTGTTTGCAGTCGTGTACGAGATGTCGACTGCGCCGCCAGAACAGATGACGCGCGTGCCGAGGTTGGAGCAGTCGATGCAATCCCCGTTGGCGCCTGCGGTACCAACCTCGCAGACGCAGAACCGCGAGCCGTAGTATGACGAGTCGACAAAGATGTTTGAAGAGCCGTCGGTGTTGGTGAAGGAAGGGCAGGCAAAGCGCTGGCCCTCGTTCTGGATGAATGGGAAGGTGGCGTTGAGCCACGAGTGGAGCGGCTCGTCGCCGAGAGCCATCCGCGGGTTTCCGGTGAGCGTCACAAACGAGACGGTGGCAAAGGAGGAAGGGATAGTGCCTTCGAGGTCGTTGTTGCGGGCGTTGAACTCGAGGAGAAGAGGCAGCTCACCGATGAACTTGGGCACAGTCCCGGTAACATTGTTGTCGTGGACAAGGAGCGAGGAGAGAGCGCGGAAGTATGTCTTGGGTGGGTTGACGGTGACAAAGAGCGAGCCGCGGAGGTCGCCGGTGATCGAGTTACCGGAAAAGTCTACGACGCCGAGGTCGGCCAGGTCGCGGAGCGGGAAGAGGTAGTCGATCATGGCGCCGGACAGCGCGTTATGAGAGACGCGGAGCGAGCGGAGTGCGGCAAAGCTGGCGTACGATGACGGCATGGTCGGCCCGGAAAGCGCGTTGTACGAGAGGTCGAGGGTCTTGACAGAGGTGAGCGAGGAGAGCTCGGGTGGAAAAGCGCCGCTGAACGCGTTGTGGCTGAGGTCGAGGGTCTCGAGGCCGGCCGGAGCCGACGAGGTGAGGCACGCGCCGGCGGAGGAAAAGTTGTTCCGCGAGGCCGAGAGGCTGGTGAGCGATGGCATGGTGCAGAGAAAGTCGAGCGAGCCGTCAAACGAGTTGCCGTAGATGCGGAGGTCAGTGGCGTTGCCGATGCCTGGCGGAAAGGCGCCGTCAAAGTTGTTATCGTAGAGCCAGACCTGGGCGGCGAGGTCAAGGTGGGTGAGCGAGGCCGGAAGGGTGCCGGAGAGCTGGTTGACCTCCAGCCGGATGGTAGTGAGCTCCTTGAGTTCGCCGAACGAGGCCGGGACGGTTCCGGTGAGCGCGTTCTCGTTGAGGAAGAGGAGCGAGAGGCTGCTGGCGTTGCCGATGTGTTCCGGGATGGTGCCGGTGAGGAGAGGAGACTCGGAGAGCGAGAAGAAAAACAGGTACGGAGGGGTGGAGATGGCGGCCGGCACGTCGCCTGTCCACAGGTTGTTGTGGAGGAACATGATGGTGATGAAAGGAATGTCGAAGAGCTCGGACGGAACGGGGCCCTCGAGCTTGTTCATCGAAAGGCCGAGCGTCGAGAGCCCAGTGAGACTCGACATGCCGGTAGGGAGCGTACCAGTGAGACCGTTGCCGTCGATATGAAAGTCGGCGAGCGAGGTCCACTGCGGAATCCACTGCGGGAAGGCCTTGTCAACCAGGGCGTTGTTAACAAACACAAAGTTCTTGATGCTGGTCGATGCGAGGCCGGAAGGCAGCGTGGTGAACAAGTTGTCGCCCAGGAAGAGCAAATCGAGGCTTGGCATGGAAAGAAAGGCGACCGGGAACTCGCCCGAGAACTTGCAGCTGTACACGTTAAACTTTTGGAGCGAGGTCCAGCCTGAGAGGTCCGGCAGCTCGCCCGTGATCTCGCCGGCGCGCTGGAGCGAAAACTCCTTCATAGCGGTGAGGCCGGCCCACGACGCCGGCATCGTTCCGGTCAGCGCATTGCCGGGCATCGGGTTGAAGAGGTAGGTGAGGAAGCTGGTGGGCATCGGGAAGACACCAAAGTTGAGGTGCTCGAGCCGCGAGAGCGAGCCGATGGCGGCTGGCAGCGAGCCCGAAATGGCGTTGGTGGACAGGTCAAGGCGCTTGAGCTCGACAAGGTTCCACGCCGCCGCGGTGTCGGGCAGCGTCCCGGTGAGCCCGTTGGACGGGAGCGAGACCGCGGTCACGTGGTTGAGCCCATCCGAGGTGGCCGTCGAGCAAGTAACGCCATGGTACGAGCACGGATCGGGGCCGGGCGTGTTCCACCCGGTCGAGATGGTCCAGAGGCCGCTGAGACCGCCAAGTGAAGCAAAGAGCGTGTCGAGGGCTACCTTTTCTTCAGCGAGCGTCCCTGCTTGGCCGCCGACAAACAGCGAGGCAAGGACAATAATGGTGACGGTTGCAGAGAGCATGATGTTGCAACGTGTCACCTTCATCCTCAATGATCAATCAAAAAGGGGTCACAAGGACGACGAAGGAGAGGAGGAGAGGGAGAGGGTGGGGGAGGTCGGAGCAAAGTCAAACTACCACGCGAGAACAGGCGGACAAGGGGACCACTTGTCGTAGACCGCGGTATGTCCTGCTGCGGAACTGGTGTTGTGTCGGTGGTGTGCGACGGGTGTGTTGCTCTGAAGGGAGGGGGGGAGGGTGTTCCGTCTAAAGTGTGGCCAGCGGGGATGCAACCGTTGCTTAAAAACGACGTGTTGTTGTTCGGTGGATATGCGGTGGATGGCGACAATGTCACGGGGACGGCTATACAATGGCTTATGTTGTCGAGGGTGTTGTCAAGTCGTGTGTTGGCGGCTGTGGAGGGGTAGGGGAGGGATGAAGAGGTAGGGAAGTCGGGCGAGGGGAGTCGGGCGGGGGGTGAGCGGCAGCTTGTGGATTGCGGGTTAGCCTCACTCTTCGAAGTTGAGTGCCATTCCACGCCAAGCGTTTGTCATGGCATTGACGTGCGGGAGAACACATGAGCACGTGCAGGAGGTGCGGCAAACTAGGCCGCTCTGTTTACGGAGGCGGCCGGAGGCAGGCCATCGGAGGGAAGCAGTGGTATGCCACACGGCATCGAGAGAGGCGCGCACGGGGGGAGGGGGGGGGGGGGGGGGGTCCAGGATCGGGCTCGGCGGTGGGTGGCCCGAGATGGAGTTAGACGGACGCGGTGGCGTCGGTAGCCGACTTGTTACACTGATGAT